GAGGGAGAAGCAGGCTCCCCGCGGAGCAGGGAGCCCGATGCGGGGCTCGATCCCAGGACCCTGGGACCATGACCTGAGCCAAAGGCAGACGCTTAATGACTGAGCCACCCAGGCGCCCCCTCAGCAGTTTTAACTTTCTCTAACTCATGTTCCTTATGAAGGCATTAAACTACTCATCTCTTATTTACATTAGCAAAAATTGGGAATCAGAATTAAATACATTCAGATGACATCCCACATAACCCACAGTAGTTCAGAGGGCTTGCATTTAGATTGCGGCCCAGCATCCCCCTTTCTTTGCCAACTCTTTACTCTGAGAACTGTCATTACCAGAACTTGGTTTAATTTTGAACTTTACACTGAGCTGATTCACACCAAAGTTCTGTTCACTTGTGCAGATTCTATCCTCTTTTCTGTGTAAGGGTGATAATTTTTATCTATAATTATCTTCACTGGCTCAGGCAAACCTAAAATGGCAAAGAGCAAGATAAAGGTGTATGAGTTTGTGATTCCCCATTATCTTTGAGGAGCAAATGTTTAACGATATAAAAATGTCCTTTTAGGCACCATTTTAGAAAGCAAATATTTAAAATTAAGGCTTGGGCACCTGGGTGGTTCAGATGGTTAAGTGTCTGCCTTCGGCCCAAGTCATGATCTCCAGGTCCTGGGGTCGAGCCCCCTATCGGGCTCCCTGCTCAGCAGGGAGTCTGCTTCTCCTTCTCCCTCTGCCTCTCCCCACTGCTCCTACTCTCTCTCTTTCTCTCTGTATCTCTCTGTCTCAAATGAATAAATAAAAAATTCTTAAAAAAAAAATTAAAACAATAAAATTAAGGCTTTTCATTGTTCAGATTTTATTACCATGTGCTTTTTATTTTTAGGATATACAGATATATTTTGCTGTATTTTGTTTTTTAAGCTTGCTAGCCCTTCTCTTTGGCTGGCTAAGATCTCTGTCCTGCCCATCCTCAGGGATCCGCTGCATATTGGTATGGAAAAAGTGCTAGGCTAAACAGAACTTGTTCATTCCACTTTTAATGCACATATGTGACCTTTTGCAAGTTACTTTCCTTTTCCAAGTCTTATCTCCTCATCAGTAGATCGGAGAAATTGGACAGGATAGTCTCATAAGATCCCCTTCTGATTCTCATTCCATGATTATATATGAACGTAAGACATCCTATTTCCATGAAAGAATACCCAGCCTGTCTAGCCCATGTTGAAGCCTCTCTGCTTTGAATGTCCTACTTTACGCTTGTCTATAAAATGTACTTGGGCATTTAACATAAACTACCTCACAGCATTTCTGAATTGTTTCATGTGTATAGGTCCCAAGGACCTTGTTTCCTGGGATGTTTGTTTCCTCCCCAGTGCTGTGAATAAGGGGTCTCCGCCTCAGGAACCTGGTGTGAGGTGGCTAGAAATCCGAGTTCTTTTTTTTTCTTTCTAAAGGTGTTGGAGTATTTTGTATTATGGCTCTCCTGATTTAATGAATCCCCTGTGGATTGTCATTTAAGTTGTTTTGGGTTTTTCCCTGTTACAAACAATACTTGAATGAATGTGTGCGTGTATAATTCTGTGCTCCATGGTTAATTCCTAGAAACAGAATTACTCTATCAAAGAGTAGCTATTTTGTTCTAATATCTGTTGCCAAAAGGGAAAGATAAAAGCAGATCTGGGTGCCAGTCGTCGTTGCGTAACATTAGGGTGAGTTGGTTGACCTTTTTAAGCTTCTGTTCATTCATATGTAAATGAAGATAATTCTAGCGTTTTACCTCAAGATTGTAGTCAGATCCTGGCTGTCATAAGTGCTGGTATGTAGTAAACACTAAGTGTTGGTTCCCTTCTTAATCTGTAATGATAATGTGTCACTGGTTATAAAAATGTGCCTTACCTTTTTCTTTTTCTTTTTTTCAGCTATGACTCAAGACCTGAGATAAAGGAAATCTGCCTTTGAAAAATAAGAGAACTTTTTTCCTTTGGTTGGATTCTTCAACACAGCCAATGAAAACAAAGCACTGTATTTCTTTTCACTGATATATCACTGTTGTTCCCAAGAAAGAATGGCAGACAATCCTAGACTTCCATCATAAGCAGAGTGACATGTAGACATATTTGCTGCACATGATGTTCACACAGTGAAAGTCATAAAGAGACAAAGTGGTATTGTTTACATTACTAGAAAATTAATAGCTTTCCAATGGCAATAACCCATTTATGAAAGAGTTTTAGTCCACTGGAATAGACAGGGACCACATACTGTGGGAGGTAGATGAGCGTAGAGCTGATATTTGATGCACATTCTGTAGCAGTGGCCCAGCCCTACAAGTATCCTAAAGCAGGTACCAGAAGTGCTTTGCTTTGGCCTCCTAAACACACAGGTGAGTCAGCCCCTCCGAGAGCCAGGCCGCTCAGAGCGGCGGTACGGTGCTAGTGGGTTGTTCTCCTTCAGCAGAACGGGGCGAGGGCTCCCTGGCAGTCTTCCTTCACAGAGGCATTAATGTGGAGGGAAGCTAGCCAACAGGTCAAGTTTCTGTGACATTGTCCTTCCCTTTGGTGACAGTATGCAATTTTCACATTTTAATTGCTCCTGAGATGCAATATACTGAAAACCAGTCTCCCCTGCTTAACAAAAAGATGAGTCTCCTTTATATTGAGCGTGAAGACTTGCTCTTCTGGAATACTCTGCTCCAAGTTACTTAACTTTTCCTTCAGAATACATGTGGAAAAGAAGGAAGAGTAACAATCACTCCAGTTTCCCCCTGTGATATCTTGGACAAATGTTTATACCTAGATTGTATGGTTTTTATTTTGTTTTTTCTTTTTTTCTTTTTTTTTTTTTTTTAAGATTGGCAAGCAAGCGTTGGGGTGGGAGGAGGCAGGAAAAACACTCAACCTTGACCGCCTCTCCTTTCTTTGCTATGAGCTGGGAAGTGTGCAGCTGATGGCCTTTTTGCGTTCTGTCTTCAGGAGAGTAGGAGACTCCTTCACTGCACTCCCACTCGGTCAGCTAGTGGGCGCGGGCCTCGCTGCCATGAGCAGGGTCACCCCGCCGGCAAGCACAGTCCACCGGCCAGGAGAGGCCGATGCTTCTTCACTGCACGTGACTGAGGGGGAAGAACGTTCTCTTAGGTGTTACTGCTTTTGCTCAGACTTTGCAAAAAAAAAAAAAATTATTAATCACCTCTGTCCTTGAGAAAGTCTTGAATGAATAGAGAATTTATTTCATTGCAATATGTGATTGTATAGAGGCTCACTGTTTCATCAACAGAAGAAGCAAAAAGGCTGTGTATAAGTTTTTGGTACTATGTACCACCTCTGTTATTCTTCTAAAGCGAAGTATTCATGTACTTAAACCATATTCTATTTAATTGTGTTTGATTTTAAAAATATATATATATGAGAATTATATTTAAAATTGTGTCAACTTTCTGCTTTCAGGGCACTTACGGTCCTTCTACTGAAATGTGTTGATTCTTCCAAATATGTCCATTTGCTTTACAAAAACCCAGACATGAGCCACTCCTGGACTTAGCCTTGTGTTTGGAGTGTACGGCGTAGACCTGAGGTTTTATGAGGTGTATTTGCTGTGATTAATGCATTTTGTTCTTTTAACAAAATATTTCCATCCTTTCACTTTGCTTCAACCTTTAAGTAACAGAAAAGCAATATAAAGGTCATAGAATAAAATGTGGTTTGGGGTGACTCTTGCTGCCTGAGCATGTTTTGCAATAACAATTTCTGTAAGACTCTAGGCTGTTTAAACTCGTGCTTTCAGTTAATACGTAGTAATTTCTTTGTATACGTTTTGTGCTTCTGAGCTAGATATGTCCGTAGTCGTAAGGTTCTTATAAAGAGAAGAATAGCAAGTTGGAGACTTGGTTACTTTCTTCTGCCCCACCTGCTGTGGGACACAGAAGCAGATTGTGGCCTGCAGTTATTAGCCGAATTTAATATTTGATCGGAAGTATGATCCTTATACTTACATTAAAATTGGAATTGGATTCAGCCTGACTTTGAGCACCACTGAGTTCCAGGCTCTATGCAGTGCGCCCACAAAATATGAGGCCTCGGCAGGATTTTCATAGGCTCGAGGAATCCGTTGAGCATCCGTTTTTACCATGTTGCTGATCTCAACGCAAACTGTTGGAAAAGATGTTAGTGCAAAAGGGGTACCGTTTGTAACTTGCCATGTCTTCACTCCTGTAAGATTTGAGGAAAGTAAAAAGCAAATGTCAGCCAAGTCCAGCAAAGAGCAATAAAACAGGGAGCAACTTTTTGTAACTTTCTCAACTTGGGTTTTTCAGTATTCGGTAGAGCTTTATGTAAGGTAAGTAATGCACATTTCTGGAGCTGTGACGAGTTCAGTAGGAATTTGGAGGGAAAGTCACTCTGAATTGTAGACAATTACAGACGACCTTGTTTTAAGTACTCGTAACTAAGCACCTGCTGAAGCAGCTGACCTCTCTCTCTCTGCTGATACTGTTTGGGGGTACCCGCCTGACTCACACTGACCCTGCCCTCATTCCTACAAAATCAGTCTGAAGTGACTTTTTATGACATGCAACCAAAAGGACCTTGACGAAAGTACTACCAGACTGTTCTAATTAACTCATGATCATGCGTCCTTAGCATGTTTGCAAAATACCCCTACATTCGGGAGAATTTTTCTTTAGCAAACCTTTGGTCATCTTGTAAATTCTCTCAAAATGGAATCCTCAACTAATGGAGCTAAAAGACACTCCCTCGTTTTTATAGTGAGGAGTTACTCAGGCCCAGGAAAAGGGTAGGTCTTTAGCCTGCTGTGGGGATAGTCACCGTTAGAACTCAGGCCTTCTGGACCAGGGCCTTTTCATGCTTCCCAACATCCTTCCAAAGGATAAACACCATCCCCGCTTTTAGCAACTATAATAAACCCAGAAATCGAGGGCATTTCTATCAATGAGTAACTGATAATCTTCAAATGATGGAGGGCAGTGATTACTACAAAATAGGTACCTGCTGACCACTTCTGTGGACTAGGCAAGACTTCTGTCCTTTGGCTGGAACTGTAAGTGGGAATAAATCTCAGCGAAACCCTCAAGGTTCCGAACTTAGGAGACCCACACTAATAATTACCTCATGAGGCCCCTCATAGATAAGCACTGTGGGCACTTAATAGGCCTCTCTGCTTGGGCAGGGTTGGGAATGGCTGGGAGTAAGAAGTATGGTATTCTGTGGGTTTGGGACAGGTGGAAATGGCCATGGCGTAGCGAGTGTTGGAGGAATCCATATGAGCAAAAGCCAGACCTTCATGCTCAGGGAGGAGGAAGTTCATCTGCTTGCCTGTCACACAGGGTAGTGAGTATTTCTGCCTTAGTAACTTAATGCAACCAAATTATTTCCTCCGTATGTTCCCCTCAAACCGCCTGCTCTGGGACAATGAGGGTGTCCGAACTCACCTGGAATAATTAAGCCCCTTGCCCAAGGGTGGTAGTGCCCCCACCCCCTCACCCCCTCACCCCCAGGCACCGCCGAGACGCCTACACCACTGCTGCTTGGTTGTAACCTGGGTTCGTGAGCACAGGCCGGGGCAGCTGGGCCCTCTGGGCCTGTGGTGGGCACGCAAGGTGCCTAGAAAAAGTGGGCTTAAGTTCAGCTCAGAGAAAGCTGGGAATTGCCAAGGAGCAGATAGGATTGTGGTGACCGGCATCTCCCCTGACTTCAGGTATCTTGCGTCCCTCATCTTGAATGTGTCTTCAGGCTCACCCCCTAGATGATCCCCGGCTGGCCTCTGCCTAGTCACAGTAAGAGCCCTGCCCACCATGCAACTCGTGGAAAGGCCCTAGCCAAACAGCACCATGGGCCTCCACACTGTGCGTAGCTCTGGTGTGCTCACCAGAACCCAGTGCGCTCCACCCACACCTTTGGTTCCCTCCTCTTAACAGAGAGCAACCTTTTGTTCCTTCTAATGACAGAGCCACTGGTTTAGCAAATGTTTGCCCATTCCAAAGTATTTTAATGTCTACCAAGTGCCGGGCTCTGTTTACAGTGCAGGGACACGGGAAATAAGACAAACTTCTGGGCTGCCCGGAGCTTCCATTCTACTGAGGAGGAGATAGAAGTTGGAGCTCCATCTATGATTGCTGGTATTTTTGGACTCAAGATAGCCTTTTGAGCCTATGATTTAACACCCCTTCCTTATAGAGCCCTGCAGGGGGTCACTAGGCTTTCCTGACCCGTAAAGGAGACCCACAGGGTAGAAGGGGCCTAAGGAGGGGTCGCTCTTCTGAGAGCACCCACCCCTCGAGGACTGGCTGCCCCGCCATTCCATTTACTCCCTGCAAAACGAGAACACTCAGGTGTTGAGCACCTGGCTGACGACAAGGGGTGGCACCTGATGTCTGAGGCCATCAAGCAAGTCTCTCGGAGTGGGGTAGGCTAAGAGGAGGCCAAAGGCTCAGTCTCAGCCCCCTGGGGGCTCTCTGCAGAGCTTGGGGAAATGTGAATTCTCAGAAACAAGAAGGCTAGTAGTGTAAAATTACTACCTGCACGTGAGACAAAATCCCAGCCTTGGAAGAAGCTAGCTAGCGACTGAGCTGATTCCATGAGGTGATCAGCTCTTTCTGAGTTCTGCTTTCATGATAATGACAACAAGCAGCAGAACTGAGTACTTAACACTGTGCCAGGCACTGGAAAGGTAAGTACCTACTCTTCCCCTCGTATGAGGGAGGCTGAGGCTCCAGAGGCCAAGGAAGCCAATCCAGGCAGTGAACCTGCTCTCTTACCCACCACCCTGCTCTGTCTTAAGTCGCCTTCATCTCTTCTCTCATTGTGCTGCTTGTTGGTACTCATTAAAGACTAGTGTAGCAGATGCTGAAGGTTTCCAGAAAAGGGGACCGTGGCTTTAAAACATTCCATCCATTGCTTTAAAGCAGCAGTTCTTAAACTTTCACATGCATCAGGATCCCCTGGAGAAACTTACTAAACCATGGATTTCTGGGCCTAACCCCGGTTCCGATTTGATCGGTCTGGGGTAAGGGCTGAGAATTAGCATTTTTAACACATTTCCTGGTGATGCTACTGCTGCTTTTGAGACCAGACCAGAGAATCAGAGACCAGACTTTTGAGAATCACTGCCTTCCAATTGTTTCTGCAAATTGGGAACTGAATATTTTCATTCCCTTTTATTGGAAATGCCCATGCTACACAGAAATGGAATTTGAGGCTTATTACTCGTGAGTCACCAAAACAAGCACACGTATCCTTTATTAGTATTCAGATGTTAACGCCAAAACAAACACCCAAACGCCACCCCACTGTCTCAGTCACTGAGCAGGTCTGAGACCATCGAGGCAAGTGTCTCCTGCTGGGGTAAGGCTTAGAAGAAGCCACAGTCTAGTCTCAGCCCCACGGTCTCCTCCCCACTTTCTGCCCACCCTATGCCCCGTGCCTTTGCCGGGCAGTGCTCCTGACATGTTCTTCCAGGACTGAGACTTCGGGCTGTTGGGATCACACCCAAGGCCCCAGTGGAATCTTGGGTGCAATCCCTGTCTGGTCCACTTCCTTCAAGTGTGTCCCCCAGCTCCTTGATGCCAACTGCCCTCTAAGGTCTTGACCATGCCTTTCCTGACCCATCTCCCTTGCTGTCCTTCTTTTTAAGTCCCTCCCATAGGACACTGGTACCTTGTTCTTCCTTTCTGCCCCTCTTCATCTCCCTCCTCCCCGTTTCTTCCTTCAGCACATGTTTCCTGGGGACTTGTTATATGCCTCTTCTAGTTACTGGGGGTACAGCAGTCCTCAGAACACATATTGCCTGTCCTCCTTGCAGTCTAGAAAACAATGACTATGCGTGCGATGAGTGTTATGGGAGAGCACGAGAAACCATTGGGGGCAGTCTAGGTGGACCCCTCTTTGTGATTCACAGACTTCCTGATCATCTCAGTCTTCCTCCAGAGCGTGTCCATTCTGCATGTATCTTTTGCCTCAAGATACCCTTTCTTCCCAGTCCCGACACTCCCCCTTCCCCCCGCAACTGGACCAGGACTCCATATTGGCATATTGGCATGACTGCCCACTGCTGGCCAGTGCTGTTTCCATATCCTTGCTCCACATCCTCCGTTGCCACGTCGGGAGGCTGCCCCTACCCGGCTCCAGGACACGCCCAGCTGTCTTTTGCCAAGTCCTTGATGCA